ATGCTCAGAGTTGCGGTTTTCTGCCTCCTCAAAGGGTCAGCTGCTTAGGAATGCTGCAGAAAGCATCTTATGCATTGAAGACCCTTTCTAACCCTTCAGAAGCAAGCAAAATGAGCAGGTGACTTTCTGTTGGTTAAAAGTTTGGAGGCAGCTCCTTGGATGGATAGCATTTTGCTTCTGTGGTTCCCTAAATGGATTTTAAAGCATCGATGAGTAGACATGTCTAGAAGTCACGGAACCTAATCTGTTCAGGCAGTGGTCTTCAGCTGGTGAGTCATGAGTCAGCTTTAAGTGACTGTAACATTGCTAATCCGGCCATTTGTTCTTCTTCTTCTTTTTTTAATGTCTTTACCTTGCAACTCCAGTGAAGGCTGCATTGTGAATAGATGATTAAGTGGTGAAAGACTGAAGTGTAAATTTAGACATGTGCTCTATTGTTGCAGCTCTGGAGCAATTCTGTGCACATTTTTGTCATGTAAATTGCAGCAATGATGATGCCTCAGCAGCATTGGAATTGTGGGGGATTGGGACAGAAGGGGCAATGCCTTGTTTCCCTGCTACCACTCTGACAAAGTGTTTCTTTGAAGCTCTTTGCATTTCCAGTTATGCCAGTGGAGCTTCCCTTGAAGTACTTGGGCAAGTGGGACAGATTCTGCTGGTGTACTGCTCACCCTGCAACTCATCAGTATCCCTGTCTGAGCTGCAAAGTAGTCTCAGATGTGATTTTGGGGTCCCCCAAATTGTTGGTGTTGGGGGACTTAAGCATTCACACTGAGGACCCTCTGTCTGAGGTGACTCAGGATTTCTCCATGACAACCATGGGGCTGTCCCAACATGTCAATGGCCCAATACATGTGGCAGGGCATACTCCAGACTTGGTTTCCATGGTCAAATTTGAGAATGGTGCTCTGTGAGGCACTTTGACTCAGTCCCTTTGTCAGATCACTGCCTGTTGAGATTTAGCCTCATTCTGGCTTTTTCACTCTGCAAGGGGATGGATCCATTAAGATGGTCAACACCTAGAGTCCAAATGGATTTGGATATTTCCAGAGGGTTTTGCAGGGTTTTCCAGGTGATATGGCTGACTCTCCTGTTGAAACCCTGGTCACTCTATGTAATATGGAAATGACCTGGGTGGTGGACACCATTGTTCCTAAGCACCCTCTTTGTTGTAGAGCTCCTACAGCTCAGTGGTATACCCTGGAACTGAGAGTGATGAAACAACTTAGGAGATGGCTGGAGTGCAGATAGAGGAGAACTCTGAGTGAATGCAATAGGAATCTGGCATGTGCCCACCACAATAAGGTATATTTTGAGGCAGTCTGTGTGGCAAAGAGCAATAACTCACTGCCTCTTTTCAATCCTCTCTGTGCTTCCTAGTGAAGCTTTTAAGGCAGTCCAGGGCTTATTACAGTCTGGCCCCAGGGACACCTTGGAACCATCCTTTGCCTGCTGTAAACTACTCACTGGGCACTTCCAGAAAAAAAAAATCTGTTGTATCCACTGGGACTTGGACTCCAGAGTTACAACAGTTGAATCAGTGGAGCTATCCAGAGCTCAATCTCATCCAGTTTTATTGGATGAGTTTCAGTTGGTACAGCTCAAGGATGTGGACAATGTGCTTGGACAGGTTCATGCAACCACCTCTGTACTGGATCCGTGCCCCTCCTGGCTTATAAAAGCCAGCAAGAAAGGGATAACTGGCTGGGTCAGGGAGGTCATCAGTGCCTCTCTGTGAAATGGAGTGGTCTTATTCTGTCTTAAAGAGGCAGTGGTGAGACCACTTCTCAAGAAGCCCTCCCTTGACCCAGAAAATTTGAACAGCTACAGGCCGGTAGCAAACATTCTTTTCCTGGACAAGTTTCTAGAGAGGGAAGTTGCCAGTCAGCTCCCAGCAATCTTGGATGAAACTGATTGTCCTAGATCCATTTCAATTGGGGTATAGGCCTGGTTTTGGCACAGAAACAGCCTTGGTCACCTTGTATGATGACCTATGCCAAGAGCAAAACGGGAGTACAACCTTGTTGATACTGCTGGACCTCTCTAGCAGCTTTGGATACCATTGACCATGGCATCCTTCTGGAGTGGCTGGCCGAGATGGAAGTGGGGGCAGTGCATTGTAGTGGTTCCACTCCTACTCAGGGGGCCACCTCCAGAAGGAGGTGTTCAGCCCATTGGATTCACCAAAGAGCATGGAGTCCCTCAGGGATCTGTTCTGTCACCCATGCTATTTAGCATCTACATGAAACCTCTCAGTGGGGTCATCCATCAGCATGCTGATGACATGCAACTCTATTTCTTCTTTTCATCATCAGCAGGGAGACTATGAATGTGATAAATCATTATCTGGCTATGATAATAGACTGGATGAGGACTATCAAACTGAAACTTAATCCAGACAAGACTGCTATGCTGTAGGTGGGTGATTCCTTTGATGGGATGGAGGGTATTCAACCTGTTCTAGACAGGGTCAAACTGAAGGAGCAAGTTCATAGCTTGGGAATGCTTCTTGATCCATCTTTGTCACTGGAGGCTCAGGTGGCATTGGTGGCGCAGTGTGCTTTCTACCAGCTTTGGCTGGTGGCCCAGCTGTGCCTCTACCTGAACAGGGATGGCCTGGATTCAGTAATCTATGCTTTAGTAATCTCTAGATCAGATTACTGCAATACACTCTATGTGGGGCTGTCCTTGACGAAAGTTCAGAAGCTGCAGCTGTGCGTGAGGAATGCAGCAGCCAGATTACTAACTGGGACCCAGAGGTCCGAATACATAAGACCAGTTCTGACCCACCTGCATTGACTGCCTGCAGGCTTCTGGTCCCAATTAATGGTCCAAATAACAAGTGTCTTGTCAACATTACTTGTGTTTCAATTGAACAGTGGTTTGAATAGCTTGAATCGCACAGAAATGCATGGGGATTCTTGTACAACCTTGGAAAAACTACCAGAAGACACATTTACCAGGATCTATACAGAGCCTTTGCTGGTGACAGCTATTTCAGTTTTGATGGTGCATATCTAAGCTGTGCCATCTCAGTCACATTCTGCCTCCTGGAAACAGCTCACCATGAAATGCCCTATAGTATATCCATGATACCAAAATGGCGGATGTCTTCCCAGACATCTGGGTAGAACTATAAATTTTCCTGACACTTCCAGTTAATTTGCTAGTGACAAGTGCAGCTTCTTATAGCTAAAACTCATCAAAACAGTCCTGTGATCCAGCATAGCATCCTATTCACCAAAAATGACTTTGCTGAAAACGTGTGCTACAGTTTGCACAAACCAAAAGCCACTTCCCTTAGCAGTAGCAGTATATTATGCAACACAGTAGAACTATTGCTGGTTTTGTGTTTTCTTTCTCTCTCTCTCTCTCTTTTTTTTTTTTTTTTTTTGGGTAACAGTTCCTATGGTTTAGAATATTTTTATATTCAAGATGTTCTAAGTCATAAATAAAAAGGTATCCATCTTTTTCTGGTGTGAATGTCATCAACATATCTTAAAGCTAATTGAAGGAAGCTCATTCAGTACCCAGACAACCAGTAGAAGCTTGGAAAAAAGATTTGTGGGCACTTGCTTCCTTGTCTCCCTGGTTCACTGCAAACCGCACATTAAAAAACACAATGACTGGGTTCAACATGATGCCTCCCTCAGCTCAGCTGGTGCCCCAGGCTCATGCACCCCTAAGGCTAACTCTGACTTTACAGGTTCCATAACTCAACCCTAGTATTCAAAGCAAAACGGACTCCCTTATCATGCATTAGCCAGTTAAACAGTGCTGCATATATGCAACTAGTACTTGTGTCCCCATTGCTATTGGTATAGCTGAAATAAATTAAGGGAATTTCTCAAAATGAAAGTATTGAGTATCTTTGTGTGTACAATTTGTTGTTTTGTATGTTGGCGACATACAGGTATGTGAGGGGATGTCACATGGAGATGGGTAGAGACCTGTTCTCCCCTGCAGAGGAAGGCAGGACGCGCTCCAACGGAGCAAAGCTCAGGGAACCAAGGTTCCATTTAGATGCCAGGAGGGACTTCCTGACAGTCAGGACCCCGAGGGTGTGGAATGGGCTTCCACAAGAGGTCGTTGAGGCCCCATCGGTGAGGGTGTTCAAAGATAGGCTGGACATGCACAAGGTGGGCATGTCATGAGCGGAGCCGGCTGGTGCCAGAGGTCAGACTAGATGGCCTGGGAGGCCACTTCTGACTCGCTCTGTTCCTGTGTTTCTATGTATTCTGGGTTTGCTTTTGCTTTTAACCTTAATCAATGCCTTTGCAATTTGTTTGGCATTCTCAAATAATTGTCCTCTGCACACATGAAATGTTGAAAATGGGACCATATTGGAAGATGTGAGGTTATAGGCTGAAGGCTACTAGATGAACAAAGCTAAGTAGAGAAGGGATTGGGGTAGCTCATTCTTACTGTGAGTGTATCCAGATAAGGCGTGCCTTCTTACTGACACTCTGTCCAGTTGCTTGAAGATGTACATTGGATTAGTCAGAGGAAACATTTAAGATTCCATCCAATATGGCTGCTCATGACTCTTTGAACTTGGGAGAGTTACAGACAACTAGTGGAAGGCAGGAGGAACATAGAGGCTAGGATTGCGCACCAACGCATTTAGTTTGCTGAAACCCATCTCCTTGTGCGGAGACTGATGTGCCACTGGGATCCCTTGGAGGATGGCAGTGCTTCCTCCCTCCCACCCCGCATCAGCTCCAAAGTTCATCTCCCAGCTTCTGAGCCTGGCCAGCTTAGAAAGGATGCTGGCTATGAAGTCTGGGGCTCCACAGTTGGAGTCCTCTGAAGTTGCAGACTCTGACTTATCCTAAGTCCCCTCAGACAGTATTTGTAGGTCATAGGAATGCATCCTTATGCAACTTTCTTTCAAAGCAAATGGCAGATGGCACTACAACAAGACTAGCACTGAGCAGCTGCTGCCAGCCCTATTTTTATAGAATGTGCAGAAGAAGGAAAACATGAACCCAGACACAACATTGTAAATATAAATTTCTGTATTTTATTGTTTCTGGTATGTAAGAAGTATTGTAGAATTTACACAGCTTTTAAATTGTAAAATGGTTAAAATGTGTACAAAATATACTCAGTTTTAGAAAAAAGTATATACCAATAGCAACAACACTGGGGTTGGGAAGCAAACAATTCTTCAATTCAGTGTGCAAATATTTTATAAAAATAGAAACACTACAGCTCTACAGGTAGCATTTCCTGATAAATTATTTAAATAGCATATCTACACAAACAGGAGATTAACTATTCCAACAGTAATGAAAAAATAATTTATACAAATACAAGGAATGGTATACAAACCGATGGTAAAAACAATCTAACACACTTTAATAAATTGTTCTCAGCATTGCTTCAATGCTGTTTTCTTACTGGGAGCATGCATTTCTGCAAAACAATTTTGACTATGTACAACTTGAAATCTTTTTTCCTCCTTAATACTACAGTAGCTTTAAATTTTGTTAGATAGTTAAACTCTGCTTGATCCAAAAGTTTTTTTTCCTTACTTTTCTCAGTCAAACAACAATGAGGTAATATTTGTACATAAAAGTTTCACCTTTGACATTCTTTCTTTCCTAGTAAGAAGAAATTTGTAAATAAAGGTATGCTACCCCTCATACCATGAGCATTTAAATAAAACTGGTGAGGCACTTCTAATTCAGCAATCACACCCTGGTTACCAAGATGTGCGTTCTGTGTAAGTCAAGCAATTCTTATTCTCATTTCTCCCTTTTGACCACAGCCTCCTCAAGGCAGGGATTTTCTACTCTGCCCTGTACATTGACCATTAGGAATGTACCATAATCATAAAGGAGCATGAGAAAGTTGATGAAGGCAACAATCCACCGAGAACATCTGTGCAAATCCTGTTAAAACGAATAAGACTGTAGACTAACAGTGGATTGTGACCAATGTTAATGGAAAGCTATCTTGTGTCCTCTCTTCACATATAGGAGAGACCAGGAAATTCAATGTTCAAACATTTTTGTGGTTTGGCAATACAGCGGGAGTACCCTAATAGGGTACTTCTCCAGCTGTCTTATACAGAAGAAAGAAAAATACATGTAGAACAAGAGAGAAATCCTATGCCCATCCTACTGCTTTTTTCTGCGTCCCACATTGCTTATGGAAACGTTCTCTTTGCAGCTTAACTATCTTCATATGCCACTATCTAGATTCACTAGGGAACAATAAATAACCTATATTTACAATCTTACAGTCATGAAGACATGTAGAAAAACGATTATGTGGATAGTCTTGACGCATTGTTTCTGTTTCAATCTATAGTCTTTTGTTATTCATAAAGAACAGTTTAGGTAAAAATAAATATTTTACATTTTCTTTATCTACAGTTGCTCTTCTACAAAAATCAATATTTTAAAAATTAAAAGGAAAAGGAAAAGCTGCATTGCATTTTGTAGAAAAGGATTTTGTATTTAATTGTATTTGTCACTTTTTGTGCCTTTGTAACCATGAGAAACAAACATAGTTCTTTGCAGACAATACAAGTGCTAAACTGAGATGAAGATGCTTCTTTGGCACCTTAATGCTCTTGTTACATCTGCACTAGCTACATTTAGAATCAAACCTGTGGATGTATGTCCTTCATCGTGGCCTCTGTGCATCACACATTATTGGTGCTGTAATGGCACATGTAAACTTACTCTTCCCATCTGTTCTTCTGAATCGCCTTTCTTACCAAGCAGATGCAATCCAGTGTGCCAATATGGTTGTTCCTATTGCCCCACAATGGAATTCTTGAAATTTATTTAATGCTGCAAGGCACTGGCCAGCTAGCATAGCTAGTTTTCCTATGTAATCAAGCAAAGTAGTTCCCTATGAATTGAACTAGAATATGGTTGTAAGTCCAATGCACATTTACAAGGAATAAATCCTATTGAACTCATTGGGACTTGCATTTGAGCAAACATGTATAGGATCGCACTGTTAGACAGGTATGTAACAGATGCTCCAGTTTCCCTGGATATAAACCCCAGAGAGCATAGTCCACTTTCAAAAAGGGATGTGGTTGCCTCTAAGTTCTGCTAGTCTTTCTCCTGTCCTTCTTCTATAAGCTGAAGTGTATAGCTAGTTTCTAAGTAGTCCACAACACATTATAAACATGTTCTTATTAGAAAAGTGCTACTCCAATGGACCTCCAGTTAAAAAGAAGCAGTGAAAATGCCCAGAAGCACGGATGTCTCTCTCACAGAAGTGACTAATTGCTCCTGAGGCAAGAAACGTTCTTATTCAAGAAAGACATTTGTTTTCTTCTGCACTAACAGAAATCAGGCAAGAAGTGTACTTTGCTGTTTTCTCTCTCAAAAGTATTCTCTTGAGGCAGGTCATGTATTTTGAGTCTCTATTTTATGACATTGGAAGAAAAAAGAGCAACGATTTTTAAAAAATGGTCCCAGGGCTTGTAGAAACAAAACATTTCAGAAGGTGCAATACCAGCATTTTGAAATAATCTCTGTAATGAATTGCTTTGTGATCATGGATCTGCAAGAAGAAAAGGAAAATAACAAATGGTCATCATTATATTGACACAGTTATATTAATATATTCATAATTGAGGAGCAACAATTAGAGGCCAGCTTCTAAAGAACTTCTTTGAGTGTCTACTTGGTGTGTTTTTTGTGTGTCTTTTCAAAATGTAGCATCATACCTGGGAAACTGTAGCAGATTTTTTCTAAACTTTTTTTTATAAAACATCTGTACCAAACTGCTATCTGTAGTTCAGATAAAGTGATTTAATGTGTGTGTGTCAGTATAGAGGATGGTGAGAACAGAGTCAAATTCGCTAACTCCATTTGAAATGGTCAGCTCTGTCCAACATAAATAGTACAAGTAGGCTTCCAGTCAGAAAATACGTTGTTTCCTTTTCCCCCCACAACCTTGCTGTGTCTCTCCCCCAAATTGACTCTTTCTCTCCTCAGAGACAGATATTTGGAGGAGGGAATCTGGTCCACTAGCCAATCCTGTTCCATTGGTGGACAGATGCAATTGGCCATGACCCAATTCTGTTACATCCTCTTGAAATTGATTACTAAACAATACTATTTCAAAGTTGATTGTATTCACTATTAAATGTTACTTCGTGTGCAGTTTCACACAGATATGAACTATAATTTTAAAAATCTACTGAATACATAAAGCTAAAGTGGTTATACATTTAATTTTTTGATGTATTATTTTTGACAAGCAAAAGTCACCATAGGAGGTACCTGAGTGCATTTCAGAAAAACTAACTATACTAAGGAAGTGTGTGATCTTACCTCTACACTCATATTTAAGATCTGAGAAGAACACCATTTCTTGAGAGAAGACAAATAATCCTAACCGACCCCCAGCATAGGTTTTGTCATAGATTGGTCCAGAATCAGCCATGATCTTCTTTCCTTCAAACATTACAACTCTGCAATGAAGGGCAGCACCAATTAATCTTAAGCATGCTATAGTACGATTCTTTATATATTCTTTATTTGTGGAACTAGCCATTGTCCAAAAGATATTTGTCCTTTTCAAGTTGTTTTAATACTACTCTGTGATTCTTACCTGATAAAGCCAGTCTTTGGTCTGTGAGTGAGACGCCATCTGTAGGCAGTGAAATCTTTCCAGCCTACACGACGAGGATCATGCCACAGAGTCCGCACCTGAAAGTTCAATGTATGACTTAATGATTTACTGAGAATAGGCTTTTACTAGGTCTCAACTATGTGCACTTGCAGATATGACAAAAGGAGGCCGCCAGTTGGCCCAAAGACCTTAATGGGCGACTTAACAGTAGAACAAACAAACATGATCAATGGCTTTGGGCTCCCTTTTCCTTATGCTTCTCCACAGTATCTGCAATTTCTGAATGGCCAGAGGAGAAATATGCAGGCCTCACACTTCAGATGAATTGTGCACTTTTGCCAGTGAAGATGATGCACAAGACTGACTTTGTGCAAGACAGAAAAGCTCAGAGAATAAAAACTAGTCAAACTTTCCTGTTCCACCAGTTAATTGCATCTGAATATCTTTAAGTGAATTCATTTATAAATGAATGTGGTTAATTGAATCAGTAAAAGAATATCTCTATAGTACTAGCGGCATTCTGAGAGTCAATTCATCTAACACTTTTGTTGTTGTTCACCTTAAAAAAGTTCCTGTTATGGTTATGTATTCTTTCATGTGGGCAAATACAGTCAGTGATTCAGTAACCACGGAAGTGTACACCAGCTTCTGTAATTATAAAAACTAGAAAAGCTTCTGACTGCATGGATTTGGGAAGCTACCCTTGCCATTGAAGTGAATGTAGCTCATTACAAAGGAACTCCTGTTAGGCACTAGAGTGACCACAAGGCCCTAGATAAGGGCTCATGTTTGCTAGCTAACTTTCACTTTAGCTTGCAGTCATTACTCAAGTCAGTTTGTATTTTCTCAAACAAGTCCTTCCTATAATACATTCATGTTCCAGGCATCTCAGAAAGACAGAATAGAGTTCTTAGTGGAAACAATCTCTTACCTGTCCAGTAGTATTTCCAGTGTGCCAAAGTGCATTACGAAGGTGTATTCCAGGACCTGTGGTGGAGTTCACTACTTTGATAGAAAGACCTGAATATCCCTGAGCTTCGGTTGGCTTAGAATCCCAATACGTCTGGGTAATCTGCTTCCACATAACCACATAAAAACGGCTACTGGACTGATACCCAAACACAAAGCCCGCATAATCATCATCCCTTTCTGTGTTAATGAAGAATGTGCCACTGAAATCAACAGCATTAAATTCATCGAAACCTGGATAAAGGAAAAAAAAACCCTGTTAGAATTCTTGTAATTATCTTATACTGTTTCAGAAATACATCCCCTCGTGCATTATACAGACCCTCTTTTTTTAAAACAGTGTACATGTGGACCTTTTAATTAACAGTTTATACCTCATTTTACTATGAGACTGAGGGACTCTGTTGGCCTTTGACCACAGACTTTAAATTACTCTGCTGGAGGAAGGGATTTTTCCTGAAATCACAGTGGAAGTAAACTGCATCTCCTTCTCTTGGTTGCTATTGCCTTAATGCAGGGCGGGAAGATGGCTTGTGTGCCCAGTGATAGTTCTCCACAGCCTGAATGATATCAACAGACTTGGCCATGCTCCCTGCCATTCATTCCCTGGTCAAAGCACTGCTAAGGAGATCCTGTGCACAGTGAAGACAGCTCCCTGAACAGCAAGCTGGGGGGTGCTTCTTGAGCCAGTGCATCCATTAGGGCAGCTATGCCTGCCTGGCACCTTCCTGTAAGGGTGGTGGGAAGATGGATGACGATAGTGTGGATTCTGCACAGAGAAATCCCTGCTAGTCTTTAGAGATGAGACTCTGGGAGAGGCCTCACTCAGGGTCCCCCATCCATGTCTTAGCTGCTCTGATGTCACAGAGGCAAGGTCACCTAGGGTTAGTCCACTAAGAAGGAATGGGGTCTTTAGAATCTGAACTCAGAAGTAAATGAGCCAGTTGATAAATGTTATCATTTGCCTAGCATATTGCCAAGAGGCATGGGCTTTCACCTGAACTTGGATGGTGGAGAAGCAGAGCTTTTTAGTGAGGAGCTATTGGCCTCAGAAAAATGACTGTTCCTATTTACATAAATCTACTGAACAAAAAAAGCCAAAAGTGCCTGCTTACCAACTGCAAGTCCGGGATCACAGTTGACAGTCTGAACTAGCTCTTTGCCTTGGTGTCGCACAACCCAATTGGGATCAATCTGAGATGTTCCTTTAGGATCCAAAGGAACCATCTGAAATCTACGGAAGTCTGTCTCACTGATGTCAACGTTCTCAGGGCAGATGTCGTCAATGTCTAAAACATTATCTTTGTCAAAGTCATCTTTGCAAGCATCTCCACGCCCATCACCTGTAATCAAAACAAAAAATGGGCATATATGGAGGGATTGGGGAAGAAATTTAAAAAATGTTGAGCAACATTTCAGATTTACACTACCATGTTCTCTTGAAATATCGATTATAATTAACTCTTCTAAGAATGTAGCTGAAGTACTTTGGTTGGCATCAATAATAGTAATTGTCATCATCATCTCCATTAACAATGGCCATCGAAGTGATAACCTGGCAATTCCCTTACAATATAATTTTGCTCAAGCTAAATTCTATTATTTTCCTTTTACATACTGCCACAGGTCCAAAGTTTTACCAGTCTGCAGCTGAAGTCCCATCTGTGTTAAGCATCCCCATCATTTTGATAAAAGGACAGACCCATTCTTTGTCATTGCCACTCTGCTAAAGTGACTGGCAAAATGGACAGCATACATATTCTTCCTAGTAAGGATTTTTGGAGGATGTTGAAACACTATACTGTGTACCTAGTGAAATGCTAGCCAACGCTGCTTAACATTATGAGAGAATCTGTTGGTGGCATATGTATCTTACCGTCAGAATCAAGTTGGTCTGCATTGGGAACCAGTCTACAATTATCTTTTTCATCAGGGATGCCATCATTATCATCATCGTGGTCACAGGCGTCACCTTTCCCATCCTTGTCATGGTCAGCTTGATTTGCATTGGGAACATATGGGCAGTTATCAAGATTGTTTTGATGGCCATCCTCATCAATGTCCTGGTTGCTATCACATTTATCTCCAATGAGGTCAGAGTCTGAATCCATCTAGAAGGAAAATGTAGGAACTTGTTAAAGCAAACGCCACAGGACACATCACAAGTGTACCCTGACTAGTACTAATACAGCAGTGAGGAGCATATTAAGAAACTGCTGCTGTTCATTTAGTCTGAGATGTGCTCCACTCCAGTGGTTTCTTGGTGAGGTTCCAATAATCAGACGGAGTCCCTCATTTCAATGGAGGGAACAGGACAAATCTAGATTCCACCAATGTACTGCAATTTTGCTGGCACTATTCAAACATTCAAGTTATGCCCCTGAAGCTATTACTCCTACTGTCTTGTACATGACAGGACTGTACAAGCTTCAGCTGCCGCTGCCTTAGAACTAAAAATTAAATGGGAGCGGTTCAAGTGTGTGCATGTGTGTTTTCTAAAGAAAGGAAAACATAGTTCTTAGAAGAAAACACAAGATGCTTTGTATGTGCATTGATGTGCAAGCAAATTCATTGCAGTCATAGTATCAGGACATCTTGTGTCATATATACTGTACTTGCAATCACACCCTACAATGTTCAGCATATGTTCTGCTCTAATGGTAAATATCGGAAATATGACTGTTAAAATTGTAATGTGGTGTGGGTTCTTTTATCTTAAAAAAAATCTACATTTTATCAAAATTCAGCCTCTGTGCTGCTAACTGAAGATTTCTCTTAATTGTTATCTATACTGATGACTGACATGGTAGTAATACAAAATACAGCATTTCATAGTTATCCATACAAGTTACCTATTAGCAGAATGCATTGTGTTTTATGTACTCAAAGGCTTCATGGATTTGAAAACAAATTAAGATGCTCCATATGGAACCCAGGTAACACTTTTGTTCTTTCCTGATTCAGCTGCCAAGTGACGTATGTTGCAATGGTATGTGTGACAAAAACTGGATATCACAGAGTAAACAACACTTGCATGCCCAGGGCAATATTTGTGCATTAGGTTATTATGCTGACCTGATCTGGATTGTGTTCCATAGGGCAATTGTCGCACTGGTCTCCAACGCCATCCAAGTCTGTGTCCTTCTGATCGACATTGTACAAGTACTGGCAATTGTCTCTTTCATTGAGAATACCTAAAAATGAAATGATCAGTTTAGCAATTTCTGTGACTTGGGCAACACACTTGAGCAATGTAGACACATAATTGCAGAATGTTAGTAACTGAAAGAAAGCTACTCAAGGAAGTTCAGCTAAAGCCCACTTGGCCAGGATCATCTATGGCCGGGATGAAGAACCACCTCCAGATGTTGAGCTGCAAATCTCATCACTCCTTACCATTGCCTCTGCCAGCTAGAGCTGCTAGGCTGATGCAGCACAACAACATTGCAAGGGTAACACTTTCTCCACCACCAAACTATAGCAATCCTGTGGCTCTACAATCAAGCTGTATCTCCCAGTCCAAGTATGACCAAATGCACACGTGCACTACATTACTGATTAGCAGAAATAGCCCTAACATGAAGCAAGGTAAGGCAGTAGCTTTCTTAGACAGTAAATCTGGGGCAATACTAAAGGAGACATGGAGCACATCCTATGGGGAAGTTCCACACAAGCTCCAATGAAATGACAAGTAGAGTCATTATATTTAAACTAGCAGATTAAGCATCTATACTTGGTTTTATTATCAATTTGAGCCTATTTTCCCGGGCAATCTGAGGGTACAGCTCACAGTTGTTTCACTGGAACTTGCATAGAACATTGTCAGAATAAACTAGAAACCTCGGAACACATCATATTCGATGAACTAGATGGGCAGAATTTCCTGTCAGCAGTTGCTTTTTTGCTACCCTGTAGATGACCCAGACAGGCCAGTAACAGCAGGGCAGGTACAAGAAGATAAACCACAAAACTGTACCATCTCCATCAATATCCACAGCACAGGCATCTCCTTCTCCATTGTTATCCGTGTCTATCTGATCTGGGTTGTGGTTGTAGGGGCAATTATCACAACGATCACCAACTTCATCCCTGTCATAGTCATATTGTTGTGGATTGTAAATGAATGGACAGTTGTCCTGTGGAAGGAAGACAGATGTAAAAGCTGTATTAAAAAAAGGATCCCAGGTTTGACACATGCATCTTTAGGTGCATATCCACCTATTATCTATCTGACAGATTTGCATAAAGATAAGAACAGCAGCAAAAGTTCTTTCCTAGAAGGGCACATGTCTCCCTTTTCCATGTGAAGGAAAATAATTTCAAAGCTGGCAAGGGTAGACAGCACGCATCATTTTGTGGCAAAATCTGACACTTAAAATATAAACAAACTTGTTTATTAGTCTCAACTTTAAGTGACTATGAAGAACTTGACCCTGCCTTCATTTTATATTTAGGGTGCATTCTCTCCTCCTCCTTTGCACTGTTAGATGGGCAGAGCATGGATGGTGGAGAAGGATGTAGGGGAAGGTGCTAGTGGAGCAGCCACCACACCCTATACCCTACTGTTTTGCTGTACGCAGGATAGGAGGTGGAGGGAGTTTTTTCTTTGGCCCTCCAACTGGCTGCAATACGAGAGAATTCACTAAGCCATCCCAAGAGCTCACTAAGTGCCTGCATTCCTGCAATACTTTTCAAATTTCTGTTCTGCATTCTCAGCTATCATGTGCTGTTGTGCATCACAGAACATGGATGTTTCTGTTAGACTTACTCTGTCATCTGGAACCTTGTCATCATCATCATCATCGTCACAGGCATCACCTTTTCCATCCTTATCATAGTCTTCTTGCCCAGAATTGGGAAGGTTGGGACAATTATCCTGCAAAAAACCAAAGGCACAATTATTTGCTATCTAGATTTAAATTTCACACTGTCCACCAAAAGGTGCCCAGATTTCAAAAGCAGAATCTGACAAGCATTTAGTTTTTACTAGTGACACTATCAGTTCATAGCACTGTTCAAATTCATTCAAAATAACCAAGAACTATACACTTTCATATGAATTTCTGAATGCATTTCTTCCAGCTTTTTTGTATATAATCTCCCCTAATATATACATTGGTGCTAGCAATTTATTCAATTTATACCTTTTTGTATAAATTGTTTTCCCTAATATTTTTGCATGCAATTTCTCCTAATGTATGCATTTTGAGCAGAGAATTGATTCACATACTTCAGGTAAGTGAGAAAAATTAAAGATAATTGCACTTTATTTTACATATTAGTTTGAGAAGTATGAATTAAATTGCTTCATAATAAAATGCAGACAACATGGACTTCTTTCTATCCTTAGTTCAAAAAGGGAAGGATGATATGTGAGAGATAATGCAGAAATATGCTCACTTTAGTGCAGTGGTATGTAGCATTTGCAACACAGGGAAGGTTTATATTTGGCCATCCATCTAAGTCTGTGTCTTCTCCACAGATAATGCCATTACCAGCATAGCCTGGTTTACATTCACAGCGATACATGGGGTCACTGAAGTGGCCAAGGTAAATGCATCTGGCATGCTTATTGCAGTCATGTGATCCATCAGTGCATGGGTTGCGTGGCTTGCAGACCTAAGAGACCATACAGACACAAGAACATTGTGAATACTGTCCATTCCGTTCTTCTTTTGAGACGTGAATACAAAAGCAATGCATAGACCTTTTCATCCTAGGTTTTCTTAAAAAATTAAAAATAAATGGAATGCTTTCCATGGATAGATTAACCAATTACAATTTTGGACAAATCAGTTTTCTTCAAGCCAAGTAACCATGTGCATGTCTATATAATATATCCATCACTGATTTAGGCTTAGATCCTAAGTTGTTCCTCTTGTCTCCTCCAACTCCATCCTTCCTTTACAGCCCTCTGAACAATATTGCCCACTATTCCTGAGTCTGCCAACCTGCAGGAGCAGATGGGAGCCATGCTGCAGGGGGGAGAGAAGCCTGCATTCCATAAAGTATATTTTGTTTAATTTGCAGAAGGAACATCGTGATCAAACGTAGAATCCAAAGATGGTGGGCTATGTGTGGCTCCAAAGCTGTTTTGGCCTCTGCTGGGAAGGGCTAATGGAGTTGCAGGATGAAACACCTGGGGAACCACAGGTTGTCCACCCACGATATACAAGGTAGTGATGTCTGAAGAGTATTCTTAAACTAACCATGACACATGCATGATGCTGTTGCTTTTGAGGCATAAGAAACATTCATTCTAAATAAATGTAATTGAAGCACCCAGCTTCTACCCATCACCATAATCAACATAATGGTTACTCCACACTATCAGGTTTTTCCAAGTCATCATGTGTGCGGGATATGCAACCTCATGGAGAAAGGCTAGTCTGAACTAGGTTGAACAGAAAGCAGATGTTGGGGCCCCAACTCCCAGAAGTCCCTGCCACCATGACCACTTTTATCAGGAATGCTGGGATAAAACACCTGGAAATCTACTAGGCTGTACAGGCTGGGGTCCATTTCTACAACTGTGGCTGCTGCGAAAGTACAACTGTGATAATAGAAAGTGTTGCTTGTTTCTTGTGTGTGCACAGCTTGGCCTCTGAGTCTATGAACAAAATCACGCAGAGGAAGATGGCAGTGCGGCTATGCCTCCAGTATCTTTTCTGGTATTAGATAAAGACATAATCTCTTTCCAGAGAAATTTGATTTCTGGAAACATGATCTTCCAGATCACTTCCAGCGTGTCATAAATCTAAGAAGGGCTGGAGTTATTATAAGCAGGGCTGGGAGCATTTTCAAATTTTGGCAGTACCTGCTTGTTTGCTATTGCATTCTCCACCCCTCGACCAAAGGGCTGTGTTCCAGTATATCGTGGTGGGCAGGGCAGGCAATGGTACCCAGGCTCAGTATTCTCACACCTGTGCACACCACCAAGGACAAAGCAGGCATCTGGGACCTCTTGACACTGGAGGGTAAAAAAATGAGATAGAAGAAAAGAGTAGTTTTTCATTTACTTATATTTGTTTAAAACATTTTAACCCTCAAATTAGTTTAATAAAGAATTCAAGTCCACTTACCTCATCAATATCTTTACATTTAACCCCATTTCCATGATAGCCAGCAGGGCAGGCACCACATTTCCAGGAACCATCAGGAAAACTAGTACATTTTGTCCCCGCAAAGCACGGGTTAGACAAGCACCCATCTGAGAGAAGACAGAGGTGGGGTTCAGAATGTTACTGGCTTCATGCAGGATAACAAATGGCAATTAGCTTACTTTAACAAATACTTTAACAATTCCCTCTGTACAGTTTTCTTTTACTCGTCTTGCCCTATAATTAAACAAATTTCTAAGCTAAATTATATTAGTAGGAGATAAGAACAAAATTGATTAGTAAGCAGCCAAGATGTGGCTGCATCTCCATTTTCTTCTTTGAGACAATTTAGGTAGTAGCAGTCTTGGTTTTCACATAGCATTCTGCAGAAGGCACAAAGACCCAAGAATATGTTGTTTTATATGGTAGCTACCCACCAATTGGACAATCTTGCTTGTTGCAGATCTGGGTGTCCAAAGCTTCACCAATACAATCCTTCCCTCCATATTTTGGCTCAGGATTGTTGCAAATGCGTCCACGCTTCTGCACTCCTCCTCCACATGTGACAGGGCATGTGTCCCATGGTGACCATGGTCCCCAGTTTCCATTTACTAAAAAGAAATAAACATTCATTAGAACATAAGCATCCAGGAAACAAAGCACAAGTACCCCAGGTAGTGTTATGTACCTTCATGGTACCCTCACAAAACAGATACAGCTATTGATGCTAAAAGCTTAGCATTTTTAACATTTACTTCTTTCTTTGTGGTTGCCCCAATTAGCTGACTTAACAGAAGAAGTTTAACCTCTGTTATTAAACAAAACAGTTTTTAACACTAAACTTACTTGGGCAAGGACTTTTCTGACATGGCATGTATTCTCTTGCTTCTCCTTCACAGTCTTTGCCACCCATCTGAGGAAGTGGAGAATTGCACAGGCGGATTCGAGTGATCACTCCAGTTCCACAAGTAACAGAGCAAGAAGACCAAGGGGACCAGTGGCTCCAGGCACCATCCTGTCTGACTATAAGCAGATGAACCTGTTACCAACTGCAATGCATCAGGCTTTCTTATGCAATTAGCACTTCTAACACTAGCAGATTAAGACTTTAACATATTGCAGTAATAGGTGGAGATATACAATAAGATACAGAGATATGCCACACACTTGGTGACAAGAATCATATCTGACTGGTGGCATGAAACTGCAAGCAATAATGCATGCATCAGCATTTTCACTGAGTTTAGTAAACAAACATCTCTGTTAAGAGATGTGAATATTTATATTGGTATTAAGCTGCAGGCCAGGCAGCTAAAGTATGCTAAGTGGCAAGAAGCATTAAAAAGGCTTTAATATATTCATGTAAAAACAAGGCAAGAATAGACTGCCTTTATTTTCTGCATAAAGCACTGAAATGCTTACATCTCTTATCACATTCCTGCATATTGCAGATTCGTGTCTGCACAGAAGAGCCTTCACAACGATGGTTGATTCTGTCACAAGAGCGACCTCTCTGCTGAATCCCGTTGCCGCAGGTTGCAGAGCATGTGGTCCATTCAGACCAAGGAGACCAAATATCTTCTGCAGAGTCACTGACTGTAAAGAGAAGCATTTTCTTGTTTGAATCCTATATGAGAAAACTTCAAATACCTATTCTGTCCTGAAACACTTTTTAAATCAAGCAGTTCAAAATACAGTGTTTTTCCTTCTCTATTTCTTGTTTGAAATAATGTCAGTATTGTAACAATAATCCCCATTGTCAAGTAATCTTGTTTCATATTACTGGAAGTTTGCAGGTACTTTGTTGTCTGCTCTATGCCTTCCTTTAATAAAACCAACTGCCTAGGTTTTAAAGGTCTCACTGTTGCAATTATTGATTGATTGATTGATTGATTGATTGATTGCCTTAGTATGCCACTCCATAGCCACAGGCTCCCTCTGGGTGGCTATTTCAGGGTGACGGGGACTGCCACAATTTTTTAAAACTAGCATATTTAGGGGTGGTATTCATTGTCCTGCTTCATGCAACAAAACAGGGTGACAAGCTACCTCCCTGCACCCATGTTCTGCCTTTGTTTGTTTTAACTTTCAATAACTATCTGCGCCACTCAAGAAATCATGTAAGAAGCATTCTGAACTAGATTAAAGGTCACAAAGGGATCATGTTCAGTCATATCTTGCAGACCCACAGAGCTCTATTCCACATTGTCCTTCTGCAAGCAGCTATACAGGCCTGAAATTGTCTCAGGATCTTTGAGTTTTTGTGAATTTTCTCAGGTCAAAATATGGCTGTCAGGTTTTTAAAGGTGGAAACCCAGTGAAGAAAACAAGAAGGTTGGATACCTTGAAAAACACTGAGATGGCAAGTCTAACTATTTGGCTGTGGGTGGACTCGACCACTACCTTAGCAGGATGGCTAATCCAGTCCTGAACACATCACAACATAAAGCTATTGTGTACAACAGAAGCAACAGCTTGTGCTTATTTCTAAACAAAAAAATGTCCATTAGAGCTTTAGTTCTGAGCTTTTCCATTTATTTTTAACTCACTTTCTTGTAAGACACTCATATTTTGGATGGTACAGGGGAAGAGAAAGATTAAATCATACATGTTAGCTATCCTTGAACAAGTTCAATTTTCTCCCCTACCTAAGATTTTATGTTCTGGTGTGGGTGGGGGGAGGGAATTATAATCACAATCCCATTTTTAAATAGAAGAAAAAAATCAGATACAACCAAGAATTTCAGATTCAGGTTATGTGTTACCCAGAAACAACATGACATATATTTAGTGTGGGTACTGGAACACTCAGGGGAATCAATTTAGGGTTTTATTAATTTCAGTGTTCTTTGGAATGTTGAACTATAAACATTTTGCCTTATATGATATCTTTATTTGAATAAATATCCCCAAAAATAAATAGGTTCACCACAGCTGGAATTTTCTCATCTAATATATTTGTATTTTAATAACTTCCCTTTAATAAATGTGCAGTATACTCTAATTAGCTAATAAGTTTACTGTGCTAGTATACACTGACAGTGTGCCTTTCCGTTCTTTGTCGTTGATCTTAAACAACATAATGCTATATCCCATGATGGCATTTACACTTCAGAATACAATTTCTAGTAATCCAGCAGAACCTAATTACTGTCAAAAATGTTAAGCTTTAGCTACTTACGCCAGCATCGTGGGCAGCATTCCCCATCGGGAACAGTGGCATTGGAACAAGGCATGAGAGGACATGACACTTTATGGCAGATAACCACGGAATTCTAAACAGGAAATAATGATATTATCAGACACTTTTTAAAATCTTGTAATGACTAAATGCTACAGCCTATCAGAGATAGCTCTTAGAAGAGATTCAAAGACAGTTTAAATATTATACCCGATTTTGCAAAACATTCCAACTTTAAAAACCAATCATGCAACCAAGGACACATTTAACAGTGGTCTTGAGATCAGGGGCAGAAATAGAGTGTGTGGGGAGGCATTGTATTCTGGTTTCTACAGGAAGAGGTGAAAGCAGCCAGGATACAGGTGCGTGAATGGAAAAGTGAATGCAGTGATGGTTCAGCACCCTCTGCTCTCATTCGACTCTCCTAAGCTTTTTAAGGCATTTTTCATGTTTAAAAAACCATTAACAGTTCAGCCTTATGAATTCAGTGTGACTTACTCTTAAGTGAGTGTACGTAAGATTGCAAGTAATGTCTAGTTTGGCACTTACTAAAGCCTACTGAGGCTGGCTGAGGTCAAAATGAACCCAAGAATAGCAACCATTTTAGTCATTCATAGACCTGATTGAGTTATTCCTTTGTTAATATTAATCAATGGCTACTGCTAAATCTTGCTGAATAGCCTTCCAGTTCTAGTCTTAGAAGGTTAGCAAAGATCCTCAAGCTTTGTCCAGTTGGTAGTCTGAATTTCAATGGATTACATGAACAAAGATAAAATGGATTTAGTAGAGTTGGCTCACAATCCAACAATCCACATTATAGCTGGATGTGACTTTGATCTTATGCCAAAGAACTTCTCAACACAGGAATGAATGGTGAGTAAAACAGTTTCCACATTTGCCAGTTCTCTTCCTTAAAGGAAGGATAAAAGATAATGTGTTTTTGCAGTTTTAGAGACTAACATAGCCAAAAAGCATAATAGATGCCAGTGACATATAGAAAACCATAGCACCATTAGCCAAGTCCAAATGAAAAAGAAAGTAATTCCTACAGTTATGTCAGTGCTTAGCATTTTGAATTGGACTTGAATATGTAAAGCAGCTAGATTTTGTAAGGGTAATCATGCTAATCTGTCACAGCAAGGAGAGCAGAATCCTGTGACACCTTATTTATTATTTAGGAAGCCAAGGGATAGGGTCATCTTTGGAAGATTTATTGCCACCAGATATTTGGACTACCATACAATTTGACCCTATGCCCATGAAAAGCAGCTGCAAAAGACTGCCTATTTGCACAGCAGAAAGTGAAAGGGAGGAACCTTATTTGCTCTGGCTATTTTTAGCCTAGAAGTGCACCTCTAAGTTTTTCACTCAACAGGGAAGTGCACTGCTTACATGCATCTTTCCACTGAAGAATGAAAAAGATATGGAAATGTGGCATAATTCTGACAGAATAACCAGAGAGAAATAAATGTTAAACAGCACCCTTCCCTGCCATGACATTCACAGCCCTGCTCTCTGAGTTTCCTTTATCTGGAGGTATCAGGGAACAAACCTGAACCTTCTACAGGTGAAGCATACACTCCTACCTATAAGCAATTATGAAATTGTTTACCCAGTTACTGGAGTTTTGAAAGTAATTTTGCAGCTATGCCAGTCACGTGCAGCAAGATTTACTGCCCTGTGCCATCAGAAACTGTCAGGCTATATGGTGGGTGTGGGAGCTTCAAACCCATGCCAGGACCCTACAACAAGCCATGGGTGCCGGGGTGGATGCAAAGTCACACCTGCTGAGCATATGAAGGAGAATGCCTGGATGGGGCTTTCCACTGCGGTTAAAAACTTAATTTACATCCAGGTCTGCCTGAAAGCAGCAAATTGTGACTGCTGCAGTGCACTTCATAACATATTTAACATATTTAATTGGCTTGTACATTTTAGGGATTTGGAGAATGCCCATGCTAGTTGTAGTATTATAGTACGGGAATACTTCATTGTTGCTGTTATGGGCCATCTCAGACTTAAGACGACCCTATGAATGCAAGCCCTCCAACATGTCCTACTCATGACAGCTCCATTCAGCCCTTCCATGTTCAAGGCTGTGGCTTTCTTGTTAGCCTAATCTTATTCCAATGTGCTTTAAAAATCTCTTATCAAATCTGTATTTAAGACATTTTTAAAGCATTAACATAAGGAGGAAGATGTTTTGTATGTTGCCTCTACTTCTATGCACAGTCTGCATTTCTGTACAGTGGACCACTTGGGTGCATGATGCTGATGGCAAATCAAATATGCATATATTTTTATGTCAAGAAAAAGCGCCTTTACCTGGCAAGTACACGTAGTGCAGGTGTCAGTGGTCCACTCAGCGGTGTTCTGGTACACAACCTTATTATGGAGGCACGCTCCAGGACTTGTCTCAAACTGACCGCCAACCAATTCCATAAGGCCATTCTTAAAGAGAATTAAAGAAAAAAGAGTTTCATTGAATTTTAATAGAGGAGTTTAAACCAATTTGAGTTATACAGATAAAGAATTCGTTTTGACATATGGTACTTGTAGGTAAATCCAGTTAAGGAAAATGTATGGCACTCACTTCAACTACACAAGTAAGGTTGTGCTGCATAGATCAGTTCACAAATACACGAGTCAGTCATTTTTTTCTATTCATTTCCTCTTATATGTGGGCATCATGTGTAGAAACCAGGGAGTTAACTAGTCTATACAAAGATATTTTCTGCAGACAGAGTGGCTGAAAAACCTGCCACTATAATACTGGAAAAGTCTGCTGCAGACTGCATCTCTTCATACAGAGCTCAGTTTTTACTGAAGTTTTAGCTCATAAATGCCCATGTTAGTCAATCTGTAGATTTCAAACAGCCTTGGGGCAGTGGGGGGAAAATTCACTTCCTATTTACTCAGCACAGTTGAGTAAGAAAAGGACTGTCTGGTAAATGGGATGGTTTGCATCAAGAAAATGGCCAGCTGGCTTGTATGTACCCTTAGAGACCAATTGTCTTGTTTCATTATCATGCACTTAATCAGCACTTACCACTTTGTGGACTGAATCCTGAAGGGTTGTAACCAGGGCACGCAGACTTTGCAGTTCCACAAACACATTATTTAGTTCATCGCAGGACAATCCACAGATTGCCTGAATGTCCTTTGTTTTATGGCCAATGTAGTTAGTGCGGATTGCTGGACGGGAGCCATTCATGGGATTGTCCAATTTAATAAGTGTCCGGGTGGCTAAAGCAACAAAAATGCATGCATATTATGTACAATCTCTTAAGCAACTTGAAAACCATGCAGCAAAAATGCACACTTTCTATAAGGCAGCAACTTGTTAGCATACAATTTCATTCTGTGCCCAAAATTTGAATCAGCGGGTTCTTCTCACTGTCATTTGAATCATATGTTTAATAAAGTCTTCCCCAACATGGCACCCAATGTGTCAGACTACAGTCCCTGCTATTTTCGGACAAGATGGCCACTGGCAGTACAGTTGAAGACACATGGCAGACTTACAGCTTTCACAGCCTTTGTTCCTCAGGATGGCTTCCAGTGTCGTTCCAAACACAAACCGCACGTTCTGCAGCATTCCCTGCGGACAAGAAAATTACAACTATTATCAACTTCTGATGGAAAAAAAATGGAAGGTCTGCATTGTAAAGAAAGTTATGCATTTCTAAAATGTGTCTGTTTACATATTAATACATATCTTCATATGAAGTTCAGCAGTCCTTGAATAAATTTAAGTGTTGAAATTGGAGCATTTTTCATACATCAGAGCTCCTGCCTGGAAGGTATGTAAATGTATAGCCTATGCTAGCCAGAATGCTCATCAGCTTTCAAATGCCTCTCTTTCATGTTCATATGGGCCAGAAAATGAATTGGTTCACAGATTATTGAGATCTTCTGTCTGAGAATGATCTTAGATCCTTTTGTATTTGTTAACAAGCAAAATGGATAGTAGTTTCTTCTTTAGGGCAAATAGGGAAAAATCCAAGGCAGAAAAAGCCACTTTGAAATCTGTTGCCTCAACTGACTGCTTCACTTTTCTTCATAGTAAGATGAGTCCAGGTAACTTCCTTTAAATAAAGCTGCTAGGATAGGCATCTCACCTGGAAGTTGTCATTGACTCCTCCTTTGGCAATGCGAAGTCTGGCACTGCGGGCCAGATCTCTGGTGAAGATGTTCTGAATAGGGATTTCTAGTTCAGCATTCACCATCTTGTCACAGCCCACATACAGTTGAGCCTGATCCTCCTGGACAAAGAGGGTGATGTTGTTCCACTGGGCATTGGGCAACTCAACATCCTCCACTGACACTAGAGTCTGATTGCCAGCCTTGGGAAAAACACTCAGATCCAAGGTTTTTGCCTTGCCATTCAACACCAACTTAAAGACATAGCCAGAGTTGTCCTTGCGTTCCACAGCCAGCAAGGTGCCAGGGCTCCTTTTTATTGGGCGAAGGTTAGCCAGCAGGATGAAGCCCTTCTCAGCTTGGATGGCATAAAGAATGTCTTGGAATTTGTGGTCAGGAATAGCAGGGATGCGGTTGGCATCATCAATGCGGTAGGCAGGGCTGGAAATCTCGGGTCCTTTTACTGGATGTACCCCTGCTGGCTTGCGTGCACCCTTACGACCAAAGCCAATTAACTCAAACAGATCAAACACACTGTTATCATCACCAGACTCTGTCAAGAGAACAGAAGAGAAAGAGAGCAGATTGAATATTGCAGGCTGAAAAAATATGTATCTGCTGTTAGGAGGTGTGCCAAAGAATATGCCAAGGTCCTTGTGAAAAATGTGGCACAGCAAACAAACAATTCTAGGCTGCCCCTCAAAATCTATTCTATTTCCAACCTCATCATAACTCCCCAAAACCACTGTCTGATTCTGCAACTGGGAAGCACTGGTGGGGAGGTTGCAGCAGCTGGTGTCTGATACTCCTACTACTTAATGCTTCATAGAGAAAACTCTCCCTAGTTCACGTCTCTCTGGCCAAACTTACGGGTTCAAGGGTGCAAAAAGAGAGTCTTTTCTCATTGCATGTCCAGGCTTCCTCAGAAAGCCAAGAATTCTCCTTGCCTCCCCTGCCCTCTCAAAGACACCCAGCTGAGGCAAACTGGGAGAAATGCACTGAAACAAACAGGAGACTGGAATGCCTGGAGCCAGAACTGGCTGTAACAGCCTGTGTGGCAGGGAAGAACCAAAGGAATGAGCTCTGGGCGACAGGGAGAGATGGAGAGCCAGTTCTGCATGCTCTGAGGTAAAAGGGAGACAGCCAAATTGGTGCGGCTAGCAGAAGGTACAAGGCGGTTATTATTTGTTGTGTTACATAGTCTGCTTTATTCATCTCAAGCATCTTACATACTTTCCTCAAATAACTGTTTTTACGTGGGGAAACCTATGATTCAATAAATAGAGAACATAGAGTGGCTTTGCGGGGAGAAACTCCTGCCCCCCCCCCCCCAAGGAAAATACTAGGCTTAGCCAGGGCAAACCTGATCTTAATGCCAGACTTGGGCAGGGCTTTGATCCCGTGAGGTGAATCCAGCCTTCCCCAACTGGCTGCCCTCCAGATGAGTTTAACTACCTGCGGATTCTGGGAGTTGTAGTCTAACCCCTCTGGAGGGCGCCCGGTTGGCAAAGGCACAGCTAGCTTCTTCCCCCAAATGTGGGATTCCAGACAGGCTCAAGCCTTGACACCTCTCGGTTTCCTCATTAACGTCTGTATCCGAAGCTCCGCACGCCGCAGTCCGGGCTCGCGCGTCGCGCCCGGAGCACCCCCGGAGCCGCGCCCAGGGTCCGCCGCCGGGGAGCCCCGCCCCCGCCAGATCTCAGGCGCCAAACGACACGCCAACCGAGGCGCGGGGCAAGCCCGCCAGCCGGGAAGCCCCGCCACAAGGACCGGGTGCCTGGCAGGGGGGCGGCGAGGCACCGCGCGCCGCGGGACTGGCCCCGGGCCGGGCGCCTCTTCCCGCTCGCCGCCACAAATGCTCGGGAAGGCGCTCGTTTCCGTGCGCCGCTTCGCCCCCAGGCAGCGCAGGCGGAGCGTCGTGGGGATTCTGCCCCTCGCACCGCACGCTCGCCCTGTGGAGAGTCGCGCCCGTCTCGGACGGGACGGGGGAGGCTGCCCCGCGCCGACGCAGCCCGCCGGTCCAGCCCTGAGCGGCTGCGGCTCTGTAGAGGTCGCCAGCGGGACCTCCCTCGCCGCCTTTCTTGGACGTGCGCTCGCGTTAGCAAGTGGCGTTCTCCAGGCTTCCCCAGGGAGGCGGTCGCTTTCCTGTTCCTCGAAAACCATCATCAAGCCCGGACGGCCGAACACCTTTGCCTGCCGGACCGACCTTCAGCGCTGACCAGCTACGATCCCCGCGAGGTCCGAGCGGAATGCCTTCCTTCCGCCCCCAACCCCACCTCACGCCGCCCATTTACCTGGAATCCGGTTTGTCGCGGAAACCCCGAGCATCAGAAGGAGAAAGAGGCCGCCTGATAACTCCATGGCAGAGATCTTTCCTCGAAGGAGCAACCTTGAAACGAGAAAGGGAGACCTCAGCCCGGACAGCGCCGGCGCTGGCGAGCTAACGAGGAAAAAGAGCGTGCAGAAGGGTCGCGAAAAGGAGGAGTGGGTGGAAGAAGACCCAAAGGAAACTCGAGGGAGAAATCAGAAACACGGGATGAGTGAGATAGAGGGAATGGATCGTGCGAGAGAGAGGAAAGAGGGAGGAGGGAGCGAGTGAGCGCTATTTTAAAGAACAGACCTGCGGTGGCTTCATAACCGCGTTGGTCTGTCTTTGCCCGCTCGCAATATTACTACGCAGGAATAGGAGGAAGGAAGCAACTTCTCCAGCATTTACCTTTCTAGAAGAAGGTGATGGATCCCAAGCAATAACCAGCTACGAGGGCAAATACGTCCTGAAGCTACCCGGGGAAGCGCGATCAATATCCTTGTGAAGCGCGTCGATATTACCCTTAGTGGGGTTGGACGGCGTCGTCTGTGGAGCCCCCAGAGCTCTGCGTAGTGCCGCTCAGCGTCCCTCTGCGGTCCTGCAGCAGTCCGAGTCAGCGAGAGCGCCTTGCTGGTCGAGGGTTGCAACGGGTGAACAGTAGCTTGCAGCTCCCGTAGGTTTCCCTTGGCTATCACCTCTGGCTGCTTGCACTGGAGTGGCTGCACAAGCTCCCCTTGCCTTTAAGGGGTCGCTCGCATTCCTGAAAAACTCTGCCAGCCAATCAGCGGCCACCGGGCAGGAAGCGGGTTGGTGTTTATCCAGTTACCTCACAACAAGACAGAAGCACGCGCGCGCGCACACCCCCCCTCCACCCCTCCCGAACGCAAAGTGTCAGGAGAGAGTTAAGTGTGGGGAGGAAGGAGCTGTTCAGATGAATGGCACTATTTGCCACTGGCTTCCATGAGATGGAGCTTGCATTGCTCTTACCAACAGCCAGCCAGCACTTCGCAAAGCCATCAGGCAGGGCATGGCTAGAGACCTGCTAATCTGCACTGCAGGCTGCTGTGAATCCTTGGGAGTTGCAGGTCCTTGTCGATTCTTGCCTGCCTGTGTGCATGGACACGTGGGACCGGTTCCATGAAACACCGGGCGACAACACACCTTCAGGGGATGGGCTACATCGTCCTGTCTCCAGAGCCCTAACCTCTCTGTTGTTGTCTGGTCAAGAGATCAAAGGTGAACAAATGAGCAGAGCTAGGAGATTACTTTCTCTCATTCTCTCTCCCCCCTCACCTATTCTCTCCAGGCAGCATTCTGGAGAAATCTGGGCCTCCCTAGGGAGTCCAGACAGAGCAAGCACCCCACAACCTCTGGCCCTCTGCTTGCCCTCTTGATCTAGGCAATGCAGCAGGAACATAGCTGGGCAATTAAAAAATTTTGGACCCAGGCATGCAAATCTAATAGCATTTCTGTATGGTAATTTATATTGATATATGCCGTTTTAAAATTAATAGCAATGATGGAGGGGGGGTTACATGAGGCAAAGCCAGCCAATTAATCTATTATCCAAGCTGCTTTTTTTTTTAAGTTCAGTAAATTTGCCCCTTGCCCTCAAACACCCCAATCAGTAATTACTATTCAGTTACAATTAATTGCAGTCTCCCTCACTGCCTTCACTTTTTTCTTGGGGGAAACTGCTGCCAATTGCCATACAGTTACAAATAGAATAAAAGCTTCTATTGGCACTGGTTTAGTTGCCATATGGAGAAAGGGGTGTTCAGGGAGGTTTCTGTCCCAGCATGTGGAGGGGGGAAGGTTAATATTTCCTTCCACAGCTATGATGCCCCTTGGAAATTGCTCCATGCATGGTGATTAAGATAAGGAAAATCTCTTGCATTGGCATAGGTGGGTCCTCTGGTCTCTGGGAAATAGTTCTGGGGTCTGAGAAATAGATTTAGGACCAGAGTCTCATGGATGTAGGCCTAGCAATGGTCTTGGAAGCAGGAACAAGCTTTCCCAGTCCTTCCTGCCACCCTTTCCAGAGATGGAGGGCACACTTCAAAGGGAAGGGAGCCGTTGCTCCTCTCCTTTGCCTCCACTTTTCCCTCTGGGCTTGAGCCAAGTCTGGTTGGCTTCACATTAAGGCCAGACCTCTGATTTGTGCTCGCCCAAGGAGAGAGAGCGCAGGTGATGCAGGCAGCAGCTGCTTCACAACACTCAGCTTCTATCCTGGCAGTCATCTCTGGTGCTGATCTGTGGACTGCACAGCTGGGAGAAATGGGGTTGTAAAGGCATTGGCTGCCCCTGTCCTGATCTCTCTGCTGTGTCTCTTCAGAGCTGTGTCTCTGAAGCTGTGTATGCGGGAGAGAAAATTGTATACTGTAGAGTGAGGGAAGTCGTAAACACGTGCAGCTGAGGGAATGCATGCTTCTTTCCTCTAAAATTCCCCTGAACACGATGGGAGGAAAAAAAACCCAACAACATTATTGGCTTTGGGCTAGATGAGGTGCTTTTCCCATTACCTTCTCTGCTCAGCCCACAGATAAGAGAAATATGCTCACCGTCGCTGACTGGTCACTGGGAATGTACATTAGTGACCTTTCTCGCATGTGTTTTTCACCATCCCTTTCCGACTTGCGCACTTCCCTGGCTGTTGCCTTCCCGCGGGCGCGTTCCTCGCAGCCGCATGGGGGCGCCCTGCGAATTCTTATTGCGCCGCTGAGCGAGGCGGCGCAGGAGGAGGAAATCGCGTTCAAGTTCGGCATTCCTCAAGCGGGGGTGGGAGGTTGCCCTTTTCCTTTTATAGAAAATCGTGGAGTTGAACGTCAAACGACTCCCTCCCCTGCCCGTCCATCGCGTCTTTTCCGCATTGCCTTTTCGCAGCGTGCTGGCTCCCGTTTGGACATGATCTCAAAGAATACCATCCAGAGAAGAGAGCTCCCCCCGTCTGCTGCTAAATAACTGGGAATGAATGAGACCTGGCACGGCTCTCCCTCTCGACTCCCGTCAGATCTTCCAGGCGGACTTATAGCTCAGGGGTGTGTGGGACGCTTTAAAGTTATCCCCTGCCCTCGTATATCTGCACGGCTCAGTTTGGCTGAGCAACCTGTGCGGCGTTGCCAGTGTGACTCTGGCTGCCCGGAATCCCATTCATACCTCCCGTGTGGAATGAACCAGGGGCATCCTGGGGTGGGAGACGGATTTCCGAAATCAGACGGATTTCAGAAATCCGAAGCCAGCTCCTCAGCCTCATCTTCCTCTTCCGAACGGGGGCAACATGGAACTGCTCGCTTCCACCCCCGACCCCTCCATCACCATGGGGCTGAAGAACGCGCCCATACATCTGAACATGCTAGCAAGACTCCCTAGCCTTCTCAGCCAGACGCTCTTGTAGCCGGTGGCAAAGTCTGCAAGCACAACGGATTGATTAGAATAATTAATTGATTAATGGCACACCGCTGAATCAAACGGCCCACATGTGGAGTTTAATCAGAGGACCCTCTCCCACGAAAAGTGTTCAGAGCCAAATGACAAATTGTTTTGTGTAAATAATCTCACCCCTTCTGGGCACATTCAAAAGCTTCTCCAGAGGAATAAATGATTTGTTTCTGTCTGTCAAAAGAAACGAGACGAGTTAGTTTTGGTACACATCCTCTTTGTGTATCTTTTACTTTCTTGCTAGCATTGATTAGTTAATTGTGTCATTTACAAAAACAACAAATAGCCATGGTTTTAATGACAATGTAAAAAAATACAGTATTGGAAGGTTTTCAGTGTTGGTAAATACACATTAGGGGGAATAATTTAGATGTTTTTAAAGGGGACATTTGGTTTTGGATGAATTTTCACAAACTTTCTCATTTGGGACTGAATCCAAACGTACAACAAGATTTCTAGTTTTATATTTGTCTTTCAAAACGGTCAAGTACCACTCCAAAGGATGACAGCAATGGTTGGTTTAAAGCACTCCTCAGGACGTAAGTTGATATTTGGCTGCTGCATTAAACTGGTATTGCTGCCTCAGTGATGTGACCTGTTAAGCCTCATGTCAGTGTGTGCAGCTCTGCAACTGACAGCCACAACCTGGAGTGAGACTGGGAAACACTGAATATGATGATGTGGTTGAGAGCGCAGGAATTGGGACTGGGACTCAAGTGATCTGAGTTCTAACCCCTGCTCAGCCATGGAGCCACCTGGGTGACTTTGGGCTAATCACAGAATCTCAACCCAACCTACCTCACAGGGTTGCTGTGGGGATAAGATTGAGAACAGGATGAAGAGAATGATGTAAGCTGCTTTGAGTTCTTTAAAAAAGAAAAATCTAATAAATAAAATGATGATGATCATGGTTATGATGAGGAAATATGAATACTAGGGGATCCTTACATATAGGGGGAACATTTGTTAGTGGAGCTCCTTATTTATTTATTTATTTATTTAGGAAACTTCTATGCTGCCCCATTCGCCGAAGCCTCGGGGCGGCTCACAACCATAAATAAACTTCAAAATAGAATAATATAAATTAACAATATAAATTAAGTCGCCCTGGCCAAAGAATAAAATAAAGAATATTAACAATTAAAATAACATTTGAATAAAATGCAGTTGCTAATTTCAGCTTTATAGGAACTACCCGTGGCACTTTAAAGTGGCATGGAGTTCAGCACCATGGATAGCTCCCCAAAGCTCAGAATAAAGCTGCATTGCATAAGGAAGCCCATTAACAGAGGAGTCATTGATCTCCTGCATGGTGGGAGAGCAGCCAGTGGATTGGGCTGAAATGTCTTCCCTATGCTCATTATACCCAGCTTTTCCTCATTCTAGCTCTTTGTTGTAGAGGGACTGTGGAACGCTTGAATTGGTATCTGGAGGCAGTTTTGGAACAAACAACACAGAACAATCTGTCACTTAATTCAGACAAGGCAGAGATGTTGTTGGTAGGAAAACTAAGTACTTTGGATGGAAATTCATATTTGGCCTTAGAGGAGGTTGCATTTCCAATGGATCAAGTACATAGTTTGGGAGTTCTCCAAATGAAGATACTTATCGTGGATGCTCAGACAGTGGTAGTGGCCAAGACTGCTTTTTACAGATTCAGGCTGGTACACTTGCACTGATCTGGAGAGGAGGAAGCTTGCTTCACTGTGTCCCAGTGATGCCCAGGGCAATAATGGTAGTGTCTGTAAAGGCAGTTCAGAAACTTCCGCTGATGCAAAAAGCAAATGCCTGAGTGCTAGTGGGTGTGAAGCGATCCAATCTTAGCCAATGCACTCCCAAGCCACATTTAAAGGGATGGCCTGTGAGGGTGCAACTTGGTCCAGGTCCAAGTTATCTGAAGAGGGCTTCCTTCACCTGTCCCAGTCTACTTCATTCTGAGGTTATCAGCTGGGGCCCGTCTTGTTAGCTCACCTTTGAGAACAGTCAGACTGATGGAAACTTTTCTAGCAATGCGACTTTTCTTGCAAGGGAATGCTCTTAGGTATTTGTACATTCAACTCCCATGAATCAGTGTGCTCTGATGCTGTTAATTTTTAAAATAAATTCTTCAGTACTTTCAGTAGCAAAACTGGAATGTTATGAATGAAAAGACCATCAGCAATTCAATTTGTATACATTTTAGTGGGAAGTTTTTGTCTGGAACATTGTGATAGTAATTTGTCTGGATTCAAGAGAACAGCTTTGTCAGACAGTCTGACTGATTCATGTGCAAAAATATCCCAAGATGT